TGTCTTGCAATTCCTCCAGTGCCCATGCCGTACAGTTGTCTTAAATTGAACACTTCAGAAAAGCTATAATGCTTATATCTCATTTATGTGATCAGTGATAATTACAAATGAATTATTTTAGAGACCTAAGGAACAGCAAACTTCCTAACCCGTATTTTTTTCTCAGGAGCTTTTTGGAGAATGATGTATATCCCCAGTGTCCTCCGTGTTAACAGCTACATCTGTGGTTAGACTTTGAGGATGAATGGCATATATACCAGATGTGTCTTTTCCTGTAATCCCCTAAAATTGAGCTCATCATTTCTGCACCAATGAAAATGTGTCGGATACTTTTGTTTTTGTGGTTTGCACTGGCAGCTTATTAGATCAAACCAACTCTGACATCTTTTTCCTTTGGTGCATAGCAGAGCAAATTAATGGTTGTACATCATAGGAGAGGTTTCTTATGTATAACTTCTAGTTGTGTGCAGTAGGTAACAGGATGTGTTGACTACAAATATCAGAAGTATATGTTAACTTGATTTTGTAGCCTTATTAAAACTACCCGGCTAAGACGGAGAAACGTGTTTAAACTGGAAACACTCCTCTCAGCAGGTGTTTTACTGGCCCATTTAGACAGCAGCATGGCTTCCTGTGAGCCTGGCACAGCTGGCTCTGTAGTTCTTCTTCCCATCTCTTTTGCTCAAGAAAAACACGATTATTTTCTTAGTGCCTGTAGGAGAGGTTTTACCTTTCAGGATTGGAGAGCAAGTGGCCATTTGCCCATAAAAGTGATTTAGTTTTAGTTAGGATGACTACTAATTAACTGTCTTTAACTGTTCTCAGAAGAACATGGTTTATTCCTCTTTCATCGATCACTCAATTACTTCGTCTGTGATGTGTGGCTGTTACTGTCAACCTTCCCTCAGGCTCCCTAGAAAACTTCACCATCTCTTATGTGATCTTCAACGACCTATCAAATGCAGATGTGCCTCTGGAAGGGCTATTCCAGTGGATCTGAGCCATCTTTGAAGCTAATGGACCTTTTGTCTCCTAGATGAATGACACTGATAGGATATGTTCTCATCTGTAGGCTCAGGGAAGAATTTATGGAAAAATTAAAGAAGAAAACTTTGTTAGTCCTAAAGAAGAGGTGAAACTTGAAGCTCATATCAGAGTGCCATCCTTTGCTGCTGGCAGAGTTATTGGAAAAGGAGGCAAAACGGCAAGTACTTCAGCAAAACCTGTGCAGTGGTATGAAAGTGAGAGCATTGAAAGGTACTTAGGAGTTCCAAGTCCCTGAATTTGGGCTAATTTAGAAAAAGCAGGACCATCTGGGCCAAGGTTTGGAGAAGACTGCCTTTTGTTTTTCTTATCTGAGTGTCAGTAATGCCTCTCTTTCAAACCCCTTTGTGAGAGGACTGGCTCACTTATGTAAGGGGCATTGAGCATTTTTCTGTTGATATAACTTCAGCTTTTTGTTTTTATTGCACAGTGACATGAAAAGAAATTTTTTAAATGTCATCTACCTTTATAACTTGTACCTCTATAACTGAAAAACGCACACAGTTCCCAGTTTAACACATGTAACTTCTAAGTTGCTTTCAAAGCTGTTTACAATTTTGAAGTGCTTGAGAGTATACCCTTGGGAATCAGACTTACAGGGTTTGAGTCTGGTTCTGCCTCCACGAATGTAACTTTGGGCGCGTCAGTTTCATTGGCTAAGCCTTAGTTTTCATCGTCTTGAATGGGGACAATGTTAATAACCTGATAGAATCATTAGTGGATTGGATGAAATCTGTAAAGCCATAGCTAGTGTTTGGTACAGCAAAGTGGGGTTTTAAAAGAAAGTGGGATTTAAAAAAAAGTAAATGCTCAAAAAATGGTGATGAAAGAAAAACCTCAGCGTGACTTATATTTATCTTTTTCAGGTGAATGAGCTCCAGAATTTGTCAAGTGCAGAAGTCGTTGTCCCTCGTGACCAGACGCCTGATGAGAATGATCAAGTGGTGGTCAAAATAACTGGTCACTTCTATGCTTGCCAGGCAAGTGGGGTCTAACATGATAAGCTCTTCTGCTGCTTTCTCAAGTGGAAGCAAGTTTCCTCTGGGTGGCCCCACCCCATATAAATACTTAAGGTTGTTTAATGCTAAACACTTTTAATCCCCCTTTTAGCAGGTGATTTCAGGGACTCCTAGCAAACTGAACTAATTAGTATGTATCTTTAATCTTCAAATAAATTTCTATTTGAAGTTGTTGAAATGGAAAAGTAAAACAGCTTTTAGTAACTTTTGATCAGGTAGAAATGTTAAATCTCTATCCTTTTGTAGGTTGCCCAGAGAAAAATTCAGGAAATTCTGACTCAGGTAAAGCAGCACCAACAGCAGAAAGCTCTGCAGAGTGGACCACCTCAGTCAAGACGGAAGTAAAGGCTCAGGAAACAGCCCGCCACAGAGGCAGATGCCAAACCAAAGACGCTTAACCAACAGACGGGCGCTGAACCCCCATCCAGAATCCCATGCACAATTTTACCCAGCCAGTTGTTTCTGAGGACCAGGCAACTTTCGAACTCCTGTCTCTGTGAGAATGTATACTTTATGCTCTCTGAAATGTATGACACCCAGCTTTAAAAAGAAAAAAAATCGGGAGGGGGGAGGGAGGGAAAGAGAAGAGCTCTGCGCTTCCCTTTTGTTGTATTCTCAGTGTAACAAATATTCTCATTTTTCTTAATATTCCCCCATAATGCCAGAGACTGGCTTAATGATGCATTCACTAAATTCATCAAATAAATAAAAATAGATTGCTCCTAAGTCCAATTATTAAAATTGGATCAGAATTGAATTATTACAGGAACTGAAATGTTAAGCTGTTAGCACAGAAAAACTCTTCTCAGTTTTGTTTTTATCTAACACTAACACGAATAACCTAAGGGAAGTGCTGACTGGTGTTGGCAGGGGTATTGAACGTGCATTTTTACTCAACTACCTCAGGTATTCAGGAATGCAATGAAAGCAAAATTTTGTGGGGTTTTTTTTTTTTTTTGAAAATTTTATATACTTTATAAAAGATAAAAGTCCAACTGTTTTTTAAAAAATGAACTTAAAATTTAATTAGCTAACAGGCAGATAACAGAGAAAAAAATTTTACTTCTGGCTGATGACAGTAAAGCTGGAAAATAATTTCAGGTTTTTTGAGGCTTTTGACAGTTATTAGTTGGAAAATCCAATAACTGTCCAGTGACATGGAGCAGTGCCTATATTTGGAGAGCAGCGATACCATTCATTTTTTCGTTTATGGCAGGGGACGTTTGATGGTACTGACAGCGCAGTGGTTGCAGGAGGTTTGGAATGGCTAGTTTCAATGGCTTCTGGAAACCTCCGTTCTTTGTTTGGCTACATGATTGAATGCATTAATGCTCTGTGCTTTTGACTATCACTACCTAAAGAAAGTGCATCAGTGAAGAGATGCAGCCCCTGTGGACTTGGATTGGCAAAAAGCAAGCCTCAGCTTGTCTTCCAGGATGCTGGGTTTGCCCACACACCTCAGACAGTTGGTCTGCGCTTTCAGCAGACCTCACAAGAATTGCTTTTCTGAAGCCCAATGGGGCAGTCAGATGGTTTGACAGTGTTTAAAAAGGTTACATCTGCATGTGCCAGGCGCTGTCATGAGCCTCACTAAGCTGTTTTGAAGATTTTTAAACAATAAGTCAAGAAAAATGAAAAGCCATCTCAAATATTACATAAAATGCAGCAGGATTTCTGTATTCTCTGCAACCAGTTATTGTAAGGAATATAATTTGAATGACTGTGAGAAAACATTTGACCTTTGACACTGAACTAATTTGCCCATCTGTAACTTGATGGCAAAGCCCAGTATGTACAATTATGTGGGTGTGAGTGGTCTCCAAGGCCACGCTGCTCTCAGAATTGTTTGCGTTACTTTTGTTCATAAAATGATCACAGTCATCATATCCCACTAATCTGAAGGACCTATAATACCCCTTAAAAACCATTTTTGCCTCATTTGTATTTCAAGATGAATTTCTACAGCCCAGGTAAATTTTTCTGATGATCTGCATATCAGACATTTTGAAAATGACTTGAAATGTTTTCCTAAATGTTTTCAGAAAACAAGTTTATTTTGTAGGTTTAGCCAAAAAGTGCCCTTTTTGTCACCGAATTCATCTAGCATTCATAAATTTTTTTTCCATACAGTTAAATGCTAAAAACAAAACAAAAAAAACCATGAACTGGCTTTCTAGTTGGTTTTCAGGTGAGGTGCGCTTTAAGGCCAGAGCTCTTCCTCAGTATTTGATTTTTTCAATATTTGGTGTTTGTTTTTTTTTTTAAATACAGATAGGTGCTGCATTTATATCCGCTGGTTTAAATTCTGTCATATTTCACTTCTAGCCTTTTAGTGTGGCAAATCATGTTTTACTTTCAGTTAAGCATTGGTAATGGAGTATCTGGTAATAGCTAGGAAATAATTCTGTAACTGAGTTTGTACTCACCGCATACGGATCATTCCTCATCTGTAATGTGCCCCAAATGCAGCTTCATTTTCCAGATACCTTCATGCAGAATAAAGTTTTTCATCATTAGGTGCAGCTTGGTGTGTCATTTTATTTTTGGCTTTTCAAATAAATGTGAGTTCTAAATTTGGTCAAATTATAAACTTAAAAAGACTTTTAGTAAAATTGTGCCAATCTCAAGTTAAGCACCAGTATCTACTGGTGAATTATTTTCTCTATTCCATGGTACTTAATGTGAAATGTGAACCCGGATAACACTGCTGCGTAGGAACTAAGAACTACAGGCTTTAAGTCAGAGGATCAGTGGGGTGCTTATGTGATTTTTGTTTTATTTAAGTTTTTTTTTTTACTATTCCAGTCTACAGAATAAGATTTACACTTAAGCAAAATTAATTAAAATCTGAGCAGAGAGCTCAGGTGTAGCATAGGGACCAGTGACAACTCCAGGAAATCCTTCTGGGATCTCAGGAATAAAGACAACATATCAAAATTTTAGTTGATGCTCATTTACCTACAGTCTCCACAACCAGATTTCAGTTAGCAGAGTGCCCATAATTAATAAGACTTGCTTTGACAACAACTTACCCAACTGGGTGGGGTTTAGGAGCTATATTTTTGAGAAGTGACTCATCCCAATCTGAAATGACTAAAACAGTATCATTTATTAACATTTGAACTCCACTGAAGTCAGGGATGAAGTGTCATCTTCTATGCCAAGAATGAAGTCTTCAGGTAATGTCTCAGGTGCCATCTGAGCTAACTGGTCATCATAAGAACGTAGGGTCCATAACTTCTCTAGTTCATATGTTTCTCTGGTTTCAGGAAGCATCAAATGAATCACCATGCTGCCTATCAAGGAGAGATAAGAGTTACAATGAAGCAGTTCTTTGACTGTTATTTTTGCCATCGCCCAACCCTCTGTGACAATTTATTATTCATAGTATACCTAGGAACTCGTACTGTGGTTTTTCAAAGTGTGGACTACAGATGAGCATCATTTGGGAACTTGTTTGAAATGCAAACTGTGGATTCCATTCAACAAAATACCACGGAAGTGCTGCTCTGCCTTTTAGTCAGTGCATCATACATATAATGTCAACATGTAACGTTACTCAAGTGTTAACTTTCTTCAAGTAGCTAAAGGTGAGGTCTGTCTGATTTCTCTTGGGAGACAATTATCCAAATGTGTCACATTTATGCACATCGTGTGAGCAAAGCACTGACTGCCTTTTATTCTGGACTGTCTTAGGGATGTTTATATGGCAAACAGTCTGATACTGTCTCTGGAGCAAAGGGCAGGTTTGCTTACAGCAGTGGTTTTCAATCAAGGGCATTTTTGATTTTCATAGCTGGGGAATAGAGAGAAGGGTTACTGTCCTCAATACACAGGATATCCCTGCCCACTCCCACCAAAATTACCTGATCCAAAAGGGTAGTAGTGACAAAGCTGAGAAACCCTGACTTACAGCCTTGCCAGAAAAAATATCTCCAGCCAGAACAAATGCAGGCCTGCTTCCTGCCCATTATAAAAGATGTGGAGGACCTGCCAAGAGTGGCGCATTGGTTAAGATCTGGCTTGGGACACCAGAGGGCCCCGGTTCGGATCCCACATATGAGGGCCAGTGACACTGCCCTCTACAGCTAAGATGCTGAACAACAGCTCAAC